GGAGTCCATAGCTGTGGGTTAGGGTTAGGTTGGAGGGTGGGGGCAAGCCCAGAGCCCCAGTGAATCTTAATTCTCCTTGGACTGTGAGTAGTTCTTAGTGTCCGGCCCACCCCTCCCTATGCTTGCTGGGAGTGCACACAGTGGTGGGAGCCACCCTTCCCCCATCCCCACACTCCTCAAATGAGCTGTTCATGGCTCAGTCCCGTACCCCAACCTGGCTGGGGTAGTGCCTGTTAGTGCACCCTTCATTTCAGCACCCAGGGTGGTCACCCCATTCACCCCCCACCCCCTCCCTTGCTATGGCACTGGCTGAGGTGGCAGTGAAGCTGGAGACAGGCTGCAGGGAGCTGGAGGGCACTGGGGTGCAACTCTGGTGAGAGGTCAGCCAGCTGACTCCCATTACTGCTTCGCAGACCCACTTTACCATGTTACATACCTCCTTGGTGCAGACCCAGAGCCAAAGGAGGCGGTCGATCATCTCTGTGGCCCTGGGGCAGGTCGCCCTTGGGCAGCTGGGTCTCCTTGGCTGCCCTTCCCTATGCCTTTGAGCCCTCTGGCGGGCAGGGCTCAGTGGGCTATGAGCCAGTTCATGTCCCTGTGATCTTTGTGCATGCATGGAAACCTCCAGACACCCCCACGCTGTCAGCACCGCTTGGGTTTCCAGCCCTGCCCAAGCACTAAATGCACTAAGGGCAGGCCCCATCCCCAAGTGGCTTGTTGGCCTGGGGGTGACTCTCATCTCGCGGGGCAAAGAGACCCCAGACAAGCCCAGTACCCCCAGGCCTGTGGGACTTTCCAGGGCAAGGCATTTCCCCTCCCAGAGGATGCACCTGGGTGGGGCCAGAGGGCAGGGAGTAGCTGGGGCTGGGGGTGCTCTGGGCAGGGGTGGCTGCTGCCCCACGGGACTGTCCTGTGGCCCCACCTGGAAACCCTGCCCCTGTTGTGGTGGCTGGCACATAGCTGTGGGGAAGAGGCCCTGGCTCAGGTCTTGCAGGAGCCCAGACTCCAGCATGGGCAGCACCTGGAGTGGGTTACAGGATGCTCTGAGCAGCACCCAACCTGGCTGCCCTGGGGTTATGGGAGCTGGGACCTGCCCCCAAGGGCAAAGGCTGCCTCAGCCCTGGACCGTGCACAGGGAGAGGAGGGGGGCATCCACTGCTTTTGCCACCTCTGCCCTTACCCCGGTCTTCCAGCAGAGCTGGGAGTAGACATGGCACGTGGGGCCAAATGTCCAGGGCAGTGCCTCTCCATTAAGCCAGCAACCCTGGCAGGGCCTGGCCAAGGTCAGGGTTGCAGCCCAGCTTGGGGGTGGCAACCCGGCTGTTTCAGTGCTCCTGCCTGCACTCAACCTTGGAAGGTCCTGGTGAGAGGGTCGTGCCCCTGTGCTTAGGGTCAGGGTCAGTTTAATTTCAGGGCATTTGAATTCCCACTGCCCTAGAAGTGATGCCCTGGCCTCAGGCAGAAAAACCCTGCTTCTGGCACGACCCAGAGTGCTGGGATCTGAACCCAGGATGGATGAGCCAGGTGGGGACAGGCTTCTATTTTTGTAAGTGTTGTGTCTTGGCCCAAATCAGCCAAATCAGTTCTGATTTCTCTCATCTGAGCAGAGCTCCATGTTAGGCATCAGATGCCCCATCTTGCCTACATGGAGCCCAGAGGAGGATGGAGCAAGCTAGAGGCAGAGCCCAGAGCAATCCCTTCTCCCCATCACGGGTGCAACCTAGTCCTGGCCCAGGTACCTGCGATATTGGGGAGGAAGTGAAGCCCCAGACTGGTGCATGGGAGGGAGGACACTTGCCAGTGCTTGAGCCACAGGGCCTTGGGGGAGCTCCTGTCCTACCCAGGCAAAACAGTGCCCTGCTACTGAGCTGGCTGCCCAAAGGGCCGTGCTGCTGCAGCTGGGAGAGCCTGCGCCCTGATGTCTGTGCCGAGCCCCAATGACCCACACCCCCACAGCTTCAGCCCTGACCAGCCTGCTCCTAGATCCACTCGGGGAAGCAGGTGAATGTCAGCACTCTCATCTTTATTCTGGAAGCCCATGGACAGACACCCCATGGACAGAGAGCAAGACACAGTCCACACCCCTGGGCTCCCCGCACTGCACAGATGAGGCATGGAGGCAGGAGCAGCATCCACCAGTGCAGGCCTGGGGATGACCCAGCCATGTTCTAGCCATGAGCCAGACCCAGCATCCTTGATCCCTCAGCCCAGCTGTGGGCACCATCCCTGGCATCTCCTGGGTGGGGAAGAGACACAGTGCTGGTGACATTGCCTCTGTCTTTGGCTGCCACCTCCCTCTTCAACTCTTGGAGGCTCTGGGGGACTCTGAATGACCTAGAAAACAAGGGGAACAAGCCTGGGACTTGCCATCTGGGCAACACGTGTCCTTTCACTCTCCAGAACCAGACCCTCTGCACTTGCATGTGAGCTGGGGCATGCAGGGGAGTGCAAGTCCAAGGCTGAAGCCTGCACCTCAGGACATGGGTGCAGCTGGGAGACAGGATCACAGCTGGGGGATTCAATCTGGGGTCAGGAGTGTCCTCTGACACACGTGTCACTGCTTGTGACTCTGGTCCCTGACAGGATCCCATGTTCCCCTTTGCACTCCAGTGCTTGGTGCCTTCTCTTGCCTGCCTGGGGTACCCAGAGGGGGTTGCTTGATAAACTGCCCAGAAAAATGCCTCCCAAACCTGAGAACCAGTGGTAGGAAGGTCCACCCAAGGGGGCATCTTGTTAGATGGAACTATGTGCCTGGTGCACAATGCAGAAGCCCTGGGCATCACCACCCTGGCCTTGCCCCATGCCACCCAGTCTGTGTGCTCCTATCCTGATGCTGCAGCTGCCCGCTGGACCTGGACTTGGGCTCCTTCAGGGCCTCGTGCTCCATATGGCCATGGTTCTCCACTCCAGTGTCCTCAGGCTCCATGGAGGGAACACACAGCTTGGACTCCATGCTTTAGGACTTCCCATCCATCGCCCAGCTGGGGACCGGGATGAGGACACTGTGGGCGTCTGAGTTCTGCAGGGGCCTGGGCTCCTTCTTTCTTGCTCTCTTTCCCAGCCAGGCCATCACCAGCTGCCTGGGGTAGGAGCCTGATATAAAGCTCTGCACAGTCACTGGCTGCCCGGGGACCGGGTCCTGCAGCTGGGAGCCCTCCCCCCGGTCTGGAGAGCACAGACGGCAGTCTGCAACAGGTGGGAGTCACAGTAATGAACACACAGGACACGGGTCAGCCTGGGATGGGCGGGAATCTGCAGGGGGTGAAACCTGCTGTGCGGAGGGGAAGTCCTGGCTTGGGAAAAGCCTCTCCATCCTCCCCCCTCACCCCCAGTATTAGTCATGCTCCTGTCTCTCTGGCCCATCTCCCATTTGGTGACCATGCAGCACAAGGGCATCTTCCCAGTCTACCTTTTTTCCTATTTATATGGTGGGAAATGATTATGATGACCACGGTTCCTGCTATGATTATGATGACGATGATCAGCCTTCTGGTTTGATCCACATCTGTGCTCTGTACTAGAAGGAGAAAACCGGGCCGAGCTCAGCTTTGGCACATGGTCTGGCATCCTCTGTGCCCCAGCTGCTGCCCTTGCAGTTGTGGGCAGGGTTTGATTTGGGAAGCTAGGGATCTCCGCACCTGGCAAGTGCGCCAGGAATGCAAGCGCCTGGATGCAGAAGCCAAGGAGGCCCCTCCAGGCCTGCGTCCCTCTGCTCCTTGGTGCTCCAGTTGCTCTGGGAGGGAAGGGACATTCCCCTGGCTGGTCTTCAGCTCAGCGCTGCCTGCATGCTGGCCAGGACCAGGTCTTTGCTACCTCAGATAGAGGGCAAGGGAACTACCTCTGTGTCTGGTGTCAGGGCAGCAGATGGGTCCTGGCACGTGCACTCACCTAGGATGTTCAGGGAGATGTTCGCCCGCAGTGGGTGTCCCAGAGCCGCATGGTGGACATGGCAGGAGAAGATGCTGCCAGCGTCACTGCGGGCGGGGGTGAAGGTATAGGTCAGGGTGAGGCTGAAGGTCCCATCCTGGTTCCTCTTGGGGCTGGACTGGGTGGAGCCCTGCAGGACCTGCCCGTCTCTCAGCCACGCCACGTCCACATCCTTGGGGAAGAACCCCCCCACGTGGCACAGGAGGGAGGTCTCAGCATCTACAATGCCCTGTTGTCTTTGGATGGAGATGGTTGGTGCATCTGGAAGGAGAGAGTCACTGTGCCATGCGGGACCCAAGATTGGTAGTTTGCAAGTTCTCTGCCAAATCAGGCTGGCACTGAGCTGCTGAGGCCATGTGGGGCCTGGGCCTGTGTCAGCTCAGTGCTCACCTGATGGACACCTGCTTGGAGAGGGGTAGGACTAAGGGGCCTTGTGGGGCTGGGAGGGTCAGAGGGGCTAGGGCAGCACTGCCCATGTGTCTGGAAGCAGGAGATTGTGCCTCCCTCAACCAGCACACAATGCTAGTACACGTGCCCCCTGTGTGGGAGGGGATTGAATAGCAGCCTTCAACTCCCTGCAGGGTCGGTCCACAGAGGATGGAGCTGGACTGTTCTCAGTGGGGGCAGAGGACAGGACAAGAAGCAATGGTCTCCAGTTGTAGCAAGGGAAGTTGAGGTTGGATATTAGGAAAAAACTCTCACAAGGAGGGTGAAACCCCGGAACAGGCTACCCAGAGAGGTGGTGGAAGCTCCATCCTTGGAAGTTTTTAAGCCCTGCCTAGACTAAGCCTTGGCTGGGATGATCTCGTTCGGGCAGGTTCTGCTTTAAGCAGTGGGTTGAAGTAGATGTGACCTCCTGAGATCCCTTCCAGCTCTCATTTCCTGTGATTCTGTGACCCAGCGCATTTCAGGTGTAAAGGCAAGGAGAGGGGTGAGGATGGGGCTGGGTGGGCTGGATGGTAGCTGACAGCACTGGGGGGCACTTTGGGGGCTCTGCATGGGCAGGCTGCACTGTCAGTGATGCTTCTCCATAGCTCCTAAGTAGCATGTCTCCATGCCCTGCTCAACTGGGGCACTGGGCATCGTTGACCTTGGCAATGTGGACCTGTAGCTACTTCTGTCATGTGGCCTGGCACCTTTTGGGCCCCATGCTGGTCTGCAGCTCAGCGCTGCCTGCACACTGGCCTGGAGCAGCTTTGTGCTACCTCAGGGAGGTGCGAGGGAACTGCCCACACATCCAGAGCCAGGGCGGCAGGCAGGTCCCGGCACAGGCTCTCACCTAGGATGACCAGGGGGACATCCTCCTGTAGTGGCTGCCCCAGAGCCGCATGGTGGACGTGGCAGGAGAAAACACTGCTGGCATCGCTGCGAGCAGGGGTGAAGGTGTAGGTCAGGGTGAGGTCGAAGGTCCCGTCTGGGTTCATTTGAGGGCTGGAGCGGCTGGAGTCCTTCAGGACCTGCCCATCTCTCAGCCACACCACATCCACGTCCTTGGGCAAGAACCCCCTGATGTGGCACAGGAGGGAGGTCTTCATGCCCACCACGGCTGGTTGTCTTGGGATGGAGACTGTCGGGGCAGCTGGAAGGAGAGAGTCACTGTATCATGTGGGAAATGGGGTGGGACATTTGTGAGTCACCCCACTGGATTAGGAACAGGCTGGCTATGAACCAGGAATGCAGGGGCGTAGATGCCCTGAAGGACCCTCCAGGCCTGCATCCCTCTGCTCCTTGGTGCCCCAGCTCCTCCAGGAGGGAAGGAGCATTCCCACTGCATAATGCAGCCCCACACCATGCTGCCGGCATGCTGGCTTGGAGCAGCTGTGTGCTATCGTGGAGAGGGGACAAGGGAAGTACCTTTGTGTCTGGAGTCAGGGCAGCAGGCAGATCCAGGCACGGGCTCTTACCTAGGATGTCCAGGGAGATGTCCTCCTGCAGTGACTGCCCCAGAACCTCATGGTAGACACGGCAGGAGAGGACGCTGCCACTGTCGTGCAGGTCGGCAGTGAAGGTGTAGGTCAGGGTGAGGCTGAAGGTCGCATCCAGTTTTCTTTGGGGGCTGGAGCAAGTGAAGCCCTTCTGGACCTGCCCATCTCTCAGCCACATCATGTCCATGTCCATGGGGAAGAACCCTTCCACATGGCACAGGAGCGAAGTTTCCTTACCTGCCACAGCTTGTGGTCTTGGGATGGAGATTGTTGGGCCAACTGGGAAGGAGAGAGTCACTGAACCATGCTGGATTGGGGACAGGGAGTGTGGGAGTCACTCTGTGGGGCTGGACTGGCGCTGAGCCACTGAGGCCATGTGGGGCCTGGCCCGCTGTCAGTGCTGATGTTCAACTGACAGACCCCCCGGGCAGGTGGCACAGGAGCCTTGTGGGCTTGGGGGGGTTGGAAGAAACAAAGGGAAGAGGACAGCGCTGCCCGTGTGTCTGGCAGCAGGAGATTGTGCCTCCCTCAGCTGGCACGCAACACCAGTACATGTGCCCCCAGCATGAGGCTTCCCAGTGCTCCTGGTTAGAGACTCAGGGCCCTCCCTATGGCCAGGGTGGGACAGGACATGGCAAAGAGACTCCCGATATCTGGAACACATCGTACACTTGCCCCCTTGTACAGCTGTGCCATGGGTCTGCGTGCATGTGCCACCTCTACCCTCATCCAGCCCCAGTATGACCATGACCATGGCTGTCCCCAGAGCCCCGGTCTGGTCCTCACCGAGCAGGTGCAGGGTGGTCTCCCCCTGGTGATGATGTTCCCCGTGCCACACAACACACTTGTACGTGCCCTTGTCCCATGGTGTCACTGTGACCAGTGACAGGGAGGCGTCTCCACTTTGCAGCTCCTTCTCTGATGGCAGGCTGGATCCGGACTGGGCCTGGCTCCTGCCCCGGTCGTACCAAGCCACCTTCACCTCCCCTAAATACCACTGCACCCGCAGAGAGTCCAGGGCCACTGGCCCCTCAACAGTGAACCGGCAATGCAGCAGGGCCCCCGAGCCCAGGCGGGCCCAGGAGGAGGGCGCAGTGGTCACCTGGACCTTGGGACCTGCACAGGGGACAGGAAGCAGCCGTGAGGCCCCACAGGCTGGGCCAGGCACAGGGGAACACTAACTGGGACTGGCCCAGCTCCTGCGGGGACCTGGTGCCGCAGGGCAGACCCTGGGCTGGGGGTGGGAGCCTGCTGCGCTTCAGTCACGATTTGACTTCACACAAAGACGCTGAGCTGAGTCCGTGACATCGTCCCATGGTGCAGCCACTCCAGACCCTGCATACTCCTCCTGCATACTCCTCCTGCCCTGTTTACTCCCTGGATCCAGGACAATGCTCAGGAACGTTTTTGCCAACAGCCATCCTCTGTGCCAGGCCATCTGCCTGGTTTGGCAAGGCTGCCCTGTCCCTGGCTGCACACCAGGGTCCCTGGGTGCCAGCGGGGGAAGTGCTGGGTGTGAGAAGCAGGTGCTTTTTGGGCTGTGATAGCCTTGGGCTTTGGTATTACTAGCACCCCCAAACCACCCCTGCTTATGGGACGCCCAAGCAATGGCAGATTAATGTGTCCTGGGGTCCTGGACAAACAGTATTGCAGGCCTCCTCCCCCAAGGGAAGCTGGGCTGCAGGGGGAGGGGGCCCTTCCCCTCTGGGTGCAGGTAGAGGAGGCTGGGGGGTCCCTGCCAGGCTGGGGTGGGTGCCCACATGCCCCCTCTTCTCCTTTTTCCCTGCCCCACCTCCCCCATTATGGCCAAACACACACGCACACTTCCACACACAGGTACACGCACACAGGCATGCACACAAAAGGGTGCACACTCTACTCTGCACATGGACACACAGACACAAACATACTCTCCCAGCCATGAACACAGACATATGCATACATGCACATATGCGCACAAACGTGTTCACAGATGTGCACACACACTAATGTACACAGGCACACACACAGATGCATGCATGCAGATGCACACACACAGAACCAAATGCATACAGATGCACACGCAGATGCACGCGCACAGATGTAGAGATTCAGATGCACGCATGGATGCAGTGATGTGGACAAATGCACACACATGCATGCTCACACATGCACACACACAGATGCACATGTAGATTCAAAAACACATACTCATATGCACGTGCACAAACAGACACGTGCACATACAGAGATACACACAGACACACACAGCAGCACAGTCACACACACAGATGCACACACAGAGACAGAAAGAGATGGAGACACACACACCCAGCCACATCCCTTCCCCTCACAGGACCTCCCCCCTCCCTCTCTTTCCATCACTGAGGCAGCCCCCTCCCCTCCTCTCCCCCCCCATCCCCAGGCGCCTACTGCTCTGTCTTGCCCCCGCCTGTCCGCTGCTGCATGGACCGGCGGGCGCTGCTGCCAGGCTGTGTTTGTGCGACCACACACATGCACAGGACTGGGCCGGGCGGTGCTGGGATGGGTGGCTGTGAAGGCTAAGGTGAAATTGGGATCCCCGCTCTTGGCTGCAGGGAAGCAAATGCGAAAGCCACAGTTTAAAACTTGGCGCCATTTTCATTTAACTGCTGGGAGATAAAAACGTGCCAAGAAAACCAGAGCTTTCACTTTCCTCTAGTGAGGATCCCGGGCCCTGAATTGGTAGTGGGCCCTGGGCTCGTGCCCAGCTAGATCCTCCATTAATCTGCCTGTGGCCCCAAAGCTCCCCCAGAGCCGGGCCGTTCTCTGCAAACACAGGGCCACTGGGATTTCCCTGTTCCAGGCGTGTTCACGAGGTGGCACCTGGCTGCCCCTGCACTGGGCTGAACACGGCCACCGCAGCCCACACTTACCACTCCTCGCCCCAGCGGAGCAGGGGGTCAGTACTTACCTGGTGTCCTCAGGAACAGGAGACTCAGGAGCAGGCCCCCAACCCCAAGGGTCAGGGACGAGACTCCAGTCCATCCTGGCACAGTCATTGTGTCCTCTATGAGGAAGCGTGGATCCCTGGGCCGTCCCTTTGTGCTTTCACCTTCCCTGTGTGGCAGGGAGGGGCTGGGAAAAGGGCAAGATGCAGCATGGAGCCGGAGCTGCTCCTCCCACACCCCACAGCCTGCGGGAGCCCGGCCAGAGCCAGCCCTGCCCATGGCCCTGGGGAGAGCAGGGGAGGGCCAGCCCTGAGCTCTGCCCAGCACGTGGGACCACAGCCAGGGGGTAAGTGCAGAGGGGCCGTGTGCTGCATGCAGTCAGGTCCCTCAGTGCCACCCATGTCTCCATGTCCCGGGACCCCCAGCTGCAGCAGGTGTGGAGCCCCCCCAGGCTAGGGTGACCACCTGTCCCTAATGGGGCAGGACAGTCCTGGAATGGGAGCCCCAAGTCTTGCTCCCAGGCTGCATGACTGTGGAGCAGCACGTGTCTGGGATTGGTGCCATCGTGTTGGGAACTGCAGGAAACAGTGGGTTTCCACTTGCAGGCTGGCAGCGCTCCAGCCTTCCTGGGGCTGCTTGAGGCCACCAGGACTGGGATGCTGGGGGGCCATGTTCATGTGCACATCTGCACTCATGCACATGGCCAGGAATACAGCCAAGTAGGGTGGAGAGCAGCTCCCAGCAGGTAAGTCTAAGAGGGGGGGAAGGAACATGGAGAAGCAGATCAAGGCCCCCACAATAAGGGAGGGTGTGGGTAGGGGCTGAGGCAATGCCCAGCCAGGGTGGTGCATGGGGCTGGAGCAAAGCAGGATGGAACTATGGGTGGTTCATCCATGGGGCACAGGACATGGAAGATCCCCACTGCTGCGCACAAACCCAGGGGGGAGGAAAGGGAGGAAATTCCCCCCCAGATTTGTGTGTGGGGCAGAAGTGAACTGCCCGCTGCAGTCTCAGGGCTCCCTGCTCTGCTGCCCTGCCCTGGGATGCCCATGCTGCAATGGTGATGCACCCCCTGCTTGCCTGGCAATAGTGGGGCAGGAACAGCATGGAGTCATGCACCCCACTACTGCTGGTGCAGGCCTCCTGGGGGAAGGGCAGCAGGGCAGGGAGCCCCGAGCCTGCAGCAGGCAGCCCACATCCGCCCCAGCCCCATTTGACTCTGCTGCAGCTATGCTGCCGGGAGAGGTGTGGGGCAAAAGTGGGCATATGTCCTGCCTCTGTAATTTTAAAAGGCGGCCACCCTACCACAGGCCTGAGGTCAGAGGCGGTGCCAAGTTTATTTTGAAAAGGACCAAACTGCCCCTTTTCAAGGGGGAGGGGAAAGTTCTTCCTGGGTGATGGAGCATGGGGGCTGGGGCAGCAGGGCAAGGGTCTGTGTGGCCAGGAGGGAACCAGCCCCAACCCTGCTCCTGTTGTGCCTTGGGCTGTAGACTCTGCACTGGGCTCCAGGCACCTTCCCCTGGCCCCTGGCCCTGGCCCTGAGGCACTAGTGTGAGCAGGTGGAGGTGGGGAGGTGTCACAGGCAGCAGGAGCCCCACAGCCCTGGGGTCAGTGCCTGGCAGGCTGGCCGAGGGGCCGGGGCAGGCCTGAGCTCTGTCAGTGCAGACAGAGCAGCAGCAGCACTCCAGCTCCTGTGGCTGAGGCTGTGCACTGTCTCGGTGCCTGCCCCACTGCTGGGGGTTGAGGAGGAGCAGAGAGATGCTTCTACTCCTCTGGCAGCAGCAAGGAGGTAGGGCAGGGAGGTGTGCATGTGCCTGTGTGTATGAATGTGAGTGTGTGTGTGTGTGCCCATGTGTGACCTGGGCAAGTGTGCATCGGGAGGCACCCCAAGGGAGGCACTCGGAGCCTGGAAGGTGGGCGGGCACAGGGAGGTGGGCGGCTCAACGCAGGAGCGCCCCCTACTGGCCCGCCACAAAGTGCAGAGGGGCTGTGTGCTGCATGCAGTCAGGTCCCTCAGTGCCACCCATGTCTCCATGTCCCGGGACCCCCAGCTGCAGCAGGTGTGGAGCCCCCCCAGGCTAGGGTGACCACCTGTCCCTAATGGGGCAGGACAGTCCTGGAATGGGAGCCCCAAGTCTTGCTCCCAGGCTGCATGACTGTGGAGCAGCACGTGTCTGGGATTGGTGCCATCGTGTTGGGAACTGCAGGAAACAGTGGGTTTCCACTTGCAGGCTGGCAGCGCTCCAGCCTTCCTGGGGCTGCTTGAGGCCACCAGGACTGGGATGCTGGGGGGCCATGTTCATGTGCACATCTGCACTCATGCACATGGCCAGGAATACAGCCAAGTAGGGTGGAGAGCAGCTCCCAGCAGGTAAGTCTAAGAGGGGGGGAAGGAACATGGAGAAGCAGATCAAGGCCCCCACAATAAGGGAGGGTGTGGGTAGGGGCTGAGGCAATGCCCAGCCAGGGTGGTGCATGGGGCTGGAGCAAAGCAGGATGGAACTATGGGTGGTTCATCCATGGGGCACAGGACATGGAAGATCCCCACTGCTGCGCACAAACCCAGGGGGGAGGAAAGGGAGGAAATTCCCCCCCAGATTTGTGTGTGGGGCAGAAGTGAACTGCCCGCTGCAGTCTCAGGGCTCCCTGCTCTGCTGCCCTGCCCTGGGATGCCCATGCTGCAATGGTGATGCACCCCCTGCTTGCCTGGCAATAGTGGGGCAGGAACAGCATGGAGTCATGCACCCCACTACTGCTGGTGCAGGCCTCCTGGGGGAAGGGCAGCAGGGCAGGGAGCCCCGAGCCTGCAGCAGGCAGCCCACATCCGCCCCAGCCCCATTTGACTCTGCTGCAGCTATGCTGCCGGGAGAGGTGTGGGGCAAAAGTGGGCATATGTCCTGCCTCTGTAATTTTAAAAGGCGGCCACCCTACCACAGGCCTGAGGTCAGAGGCGGTGCCAAGTTTATTTTGAAAAGGACCAAACTGCCCCTTTTCAAGGGGGAGGGGAAAGTTCTTCCTGGGTGATGGAGCATGGGGGCTGGGGCAGCAGGGCAAGGGTCTGTGTGGCCAGGAGGGAACCAGCCCCAACCCTGCTCCTGTTGTGCCTTGGGCTGTAGACTCTGCACTGGGCTCCAGGCACCTTCCCCTGGCCCCTGGCCCTGGCCCTGAGGCACTAGTGTGAGCAGGTGGAGGTGGGGAGGTGTCACAGGCAGCAGGAGCCCCACAGCCCTGGGGTCAGTGCCTGGCAGGCTGGCCGAGGGGCCGGGGCAGGCCTGAGCTCTGTCAGTGCAGACAGAGCAGCAGCAGCACTCCAGCTCCTGTGGCTGAGGCTGTGCACTGTCTCGGTGCCTGCCCCACTGCTGGGGGTTGAGGAGGAGCAGAGAGATGCTTCTACTCCTCTGGCAGCAGCAAGGAGGTAGGGCAGGGAGGTGTGCATGTGCCTGTGTGTATGAATGTGAGTGTGTGTGTGTGTGCCCATGTGTGACCTGGGCAAGTGTGCATGTGTGTATATGTAAGCATGCATGTGCGAGTGTGTGTGCCTGCGTGCACGTGTGTGAGTGAATGAGTGTGTGCATGAATGTCTGAGTGTGTCTATGCACATGTTAGTGTCTGTATGTGCATGTGCCTCTGTGAGTATGTGTGTGCATCTGTGGAGGGACATGTTTGGGGGGTGGGACACATGGGAGGGGGTCCCCTCTGGTTATGCCCCTTCACCAAGTGGCAAGGAGTAGGTGAGCGCTCCACTCTCAATTGCCTCATCCATCAGAGTAACAGACACACACCCTGTCCCCTCCCCCACCAGGACCCCCCACCCAGCTGCTGGGGCTGTCCCTGGGACGGGGTGAGGGCCCTGCCTGGGGCTGGGGCTGGACAGGACCATGGCAGCGAGACCCGGACTGTGAAGCGCATTGCTCACTCGCTGCCCCTGTAGATATGGGCCAGATGTGCATGTGCCAGCTCCTGGCCCCATCTGGCCCATCCCAACCGCAGCCCCTGGGAGCCCCTCTCCAGCCCTCACCCGCGGGCGGAGGGGGCTCCCCCAAGGCTGCTGTGCCCTGCACTGAACAGGGCTGGTGGCGCTGCTGCTGTGGGTCCTGCTGGGCCACCAGTGCTGATGGGGTCCGAGCCACGGAGCATCAACACTGCAGCAAGGTTTCAGCAGTGCCCTGCAGTCCGCTGGGGACCCCAGTGCATCTGGGTCTTAGTCTGAGGTCCAAACTGTTCCCCTGAGGGGGAGGGACCAAGTCCCAGGCCAGACCCAGGCTCCACTCCGGCACCTTTCGGGGTGTCCCCAGCCAAACTGCACCCCAAGGTGGGAGCCCTGTCTGGGGCCGAGGGGGCATCCAGCACACAGGCCCCTGCGGGGGGCAGCTCCCCACAGGGTGGGGGCAGCACAGGGACACCCCTGGGGGCAGAAATCACCCCAAGGGCACAGCCGGGGCTGGGCAGTGGGATGTGGGAGCTAACGTGGGGTCTGTACGGAAGGAGAGAGCCCAGGCTGGCACTGGGGCCACTGGGCGGGAGTGAGGGACACCCACCTGTCCGCCACCCCATCTGGCCCCACTCCTGCCCAGTGCCGGGGGTGGGTATGTGTACGTGGGCAGCAGCCACCAGCTCCCAGCGTGGTGCATGTACGGACAGATGAGGCACCAGAGCCGGGGCTGTGACTTCATTCCTCCTTTCTCCCCCAAAACAGGGAGCTGCTTTTAGGTCCGGGCCCCGGCAGGTGTCATCACACCCCGTTCCCATGGTTACTGGGGAGGATGGGGCCCTGACGTCAGCTGTCCCGCCTGGCGGGGACCACCCTTCATGGAGTGTGTTTGCACATGTGGCGGGGGGGGCAGGTAGACAGCCCCTTTGTGCCCCTCAACTCCCTGACCCCCCCATTACCCCCCCACCTCGCACCCACACACAGACCCACGGTGGGGATAGCTGGTCCTGGGCTATCAGCAGCCTTGTATTTCCAGCCCTGCCCAGAGCTGCGCCAAGGACAGAGGGCAGGGCCCGGCCCCAGGGGGCTCATTGCCCCCGCGGTGACTCTCACCTGGGCGGGGGGGACCCCAGTCCAGCAGGACCTCCAAGGGTGAGGCCAGTCCCCTCCAAAGGTGGAAGGGATTTCAGTCTCCAC